AACTAAAGAATGGAAAGTTTTACTTGTGGTGTATATATATATTCCTATCAGGTACGTGTCACATTAATGATAAGTAACGTGTATCTGTTCTTTAGCATTCTCAAGACAACTACCATTCTGAAAAATAATGCCAACAAAAGATGATATCATTTTCAGCTTAGCAGTTACTATAGTGTTAAATATATACAGCATATGTGAAGAAGTTCTAGGAGTAAAATCTATGGGAAAACAATGAACCAAATCAACAATAATTCATAAATACTGTTATTAATATTGCTTTAAAAAGTATATAAATATTTCTGACTTTTAAACTAATTCCAAAGAGTTAAAAAGAAATACAAAGTAGTCCTCTTTTTTAAAATTTTAACTTAAAAGTATAATTCTAGACCAGGTGTGGTGGCTCACACCTGTAATCCCAGTAGTTTGGGAGGCCGAGGCCAGTGTATCACCTGAAGTCAGGAGTTTGAGACCAACCTGGCCAACATGGTGAAACCTCATCTCTACTATACAAAAAATTAGCCAGGAGTGGTGGCAGGTGCCTGTAACCCCTGCTACTTGGGAGGCTGAGACAGGAGAATTGCTTGAACCCAGGAGGCGGAGGTTGCAGTAAGTTGAAATTGTGCCATTGCACTCCAGCCTGGGCAACAAGAGCAAAACTCCACCTCAAAAAAAAAAAAAAAATTATAATTCTAAACAAATGACTGAGGATAAAAACACCACCTCTGGAAGTACTCCAAGTCACAAAGATTACAGGAAAGGCTGAGTGTACTCTGGAAATGGAAAAGGATGAGGCTTCGGATGGAAATTCCTGACATGTTGATGTATTTTTTTTAAATTTTTCAGAAAAACTGAAGACAGGAATTGCCAGGCACGCAAACATGGGTCTCCTGATAGCAGCAATCCAAAAGGAACGCCTGGGCTGCTATCGCAGAAAATGGCAGTGTTATGAAAGCCAGCACTTGTCATGAAGAATGCAGGCTGTTTTGTTTTCTCTAGTTAAAAAACGTAGTGTTGAAAATGTATTAACCTACTTAAAAGTTGTAGCATTCAAAACAATGGGAAAGAAAGATACAGTGTGATAGATGGAAGACAACTCCTGAAGAATTAAACCAGACCTATAACATAAATGCAAATAATAATACAAACAAAAATAGCTCTAATGTATAGAGTTTATAATATATACTGGGTACCTTAGATGTATCATCCTTTTCAATATTCGAAACAGTCCGAAGAGGTAGGAATTAATAGTCCCTTTTACTGATGAGTAAGCTGACGCTTAGCTAAGTAACTTGCCCCAGTCACCTGATATGAAATGGCAAAGGTGAATTGAAAGCCAGTCCTACTGAACCAAAGTCCATATGCTTTCTGTAACATTATTAAAAGTATGTAATTCAACACTTCAACAAAAATGTGTGTGCCAGAAATTATAAGGGAAATAGCTAGAAAAAGGAGCCAAAAGTAAAATGTTATTCCTCCCCTCTTACTGATTTTTTAAAATAAAAACAAACATGATAAATATCAAAGAAGACAATTGAGAAATACAAAGTATGACTGTAAAGTAACAAAGCCAATATAATTACAAACACTCCAGAACTTATCAAAATTATAATGCTCTTAATCAAATTAGTCATCTCAGAAGAAGGTATAGTAATTTCTAGAATCGTGCCATTGTTCAAAACACTTTGCCTTGGGCATCATAAGAGTAAAATTATGTATCTATATCTCCTGAAGCATAGTCTTGTGGGGTTTTGTTTTTAAAGCAGGGTTTCGCTCCATCACCCAGGCTGTAGTGCAGTGGTACAATCATAGCTCATTGCAGCCTTAAATTCCTGGCCTCAAGGAATCCTCTCGCCTTAGCCTCCCAAGTAGCTAAGACTACAGGCATGCAGGCCATCATGCTGGACTAATGTTTTAAATGTTTCGTTTGTAGAGACAGGGTCTTGCTATGTTCCCCAGGCTGGTTGCCCAGGCTAGTCTCAAATTCCTGGCCTTAAGTGATCCTCCTGCCTTAGCTTCCCAAAGCACTGGGATTACAGGCACGGACCAATGTGCCCAACACAACCATGGCCTTTTAAACAAAGTAATGATGTGGCAAATGTTTACAAGTCAATACCGTACTATGTTTGGAAATAGCCAAAAGTCATTTGGATATACAAAAATGTTAACAGTAGATCTTTCTACTGGGTAGAATTTCAGAGAACTCACTTTCTAAGTCAAGTATTTCTATAATATTTTACTGTTTTATAATGACTTTTACAAAAATAAAACATTTTAAAAAGTAGTATGAAGCCAGTAGTTAGATAGTCATCCAGAATTTACAATTCCATTTAGAATTTGTTCTTGTGTAATTGATAAATTAGCACTGCATGCGATTCTAAAAACAGAGAATCTATCAGACACAACCCTGGTGATTTTCATGAATATAGTCCCTCCAAATAAACTTTAAGTTCATTTATGTAGCTATAAAAGCTCTGGTGCATTTTGCAAATTCATTATCATTTTGTAGATATCATTCTGTATATATTATGGGCACCCAAAAGCCTATATTAAATAGCATCTATTAATTTATTTTAAACCACTTTATTGAGCTATGATTGACATATAAAAGCTATATATGTTTAATGTATACAACTTTCTGAGTTTGGATGTAAGCATATACCCATAAAACCATAACCACGCTGGGTGCAGTGGCTCACGCCTGTAATCCCAGCACTTTGGGAGGCTGAGGTGGGTGGATCATGAAGTCAGGAGTTTGAGACCAGCCTGACCAACATAGTGAAACCCCATCTCTACTAAAAATACAAAAAATTATCCGAATGTGGTGGCAGGCACCTGTAATTCGAGGCTGAGGCAGGAGGATTGCTTGAACTCAGGAGGCGGAGGTTGTGGTGAGCCAAGATTGTGCCACTGTACTCCAGCCTGGGTGACAAGAGTGAAACTCCATCTCAAAAAAAAAAAAAAAGTCACAACCACAGGCAAGGTCGTAAACAGACCGCTTGCCTCCAAAAGTTTCCTTCTGCCCTGTTTATTTAAAAATGTTTTTTGATAAGAATATGCTACAAGATTTCCCCTCCTAGCAAACATTTAAGTATACAATGCAGTATTGTTAACTATATGCTCTATGCTGTACAGTAGATCTCTAGGATTTATTCATGTTGCATAACTGAAATTTTGTACCCTTTGACCAATACCCCTCCTCCACTTCCTCTTCTCCCAGTTCCCAATGACCACTATTCTATTCTTTGCCTCTATAAGGCAGTATTCAGACTGAGCCTGAGAAAGAAATATGAGAACACATTTTTAGTCATCTATAATATGTAGTTAAGGCAGGGGACTGTAAGACAAATCAGGAGGTGTAAGTATCTGCAATACTAAACACATTCAGAAACTGGTACTGGTGAGAAAAGCAGAAATTTACCAAATGACACTCTGGGCTTTACAATTAAGAGTCCTCAGCCTACTTGCCTCAGAACGTCCACACAAGAGAAAAGATTACATTTTATCTAGATTTAAAAGGATACCTTTCTAAAGAATAGAATGTTTTGGTTTTTTTAATGTCAGACTAGGGATGATCTGGGTCTATGGGCTTAAATTCAAGCCATAGTTCCTAGATCAGAAAATGTTCAGGTCTGGAAACAGAAGAAAATGGCTGGGTGTTTTCTTTTTTTCTTCTTCTTCTTCTTTGAGATGGAGTCTCACTCTCTCACCAGGCTGGAGTGCGATCTCAGCTCACTGCAACCTCTGCCTCCTGGGTTTAAGCGATTCTCCTGCCTCAGCCTCCTGGGTAGCTGCAACTACAGGCGTGCACCACCACGTCCAGCTAATTTTTGTATTTTTAGTAGAGACTGAGTTTCACAATGTTGGCCACAATGGTCTCGGTCTCCTGACCTCGTGATCCGCCCACCTCGGCCTCCGAAAGTGCTGCAATTACAGGTGTGAGCCACCACTCCCAGCCCTTCTTCTTTCTTAATGTGAGCATTTCTCTCGTGGCATTTGAATTTCTGTTTAAAACCCAACAACTTTCAAGCATACCATCTTATCAGCAATTTACAATATAAGAAACATATGGTTAAAGCCATCTTTAAAAGAATCTTTAACAATTACATTGTTCATGGGTCTTAACTCTAAAAAGTAACATTTTAATCCAAAATATATTGTTTATAATGTGGAAGCATAAACCATTTTAAGCATATCATTGAGAGACTGAATTCTGCAGGAATCAGAAACATTAAAAGACATTACATTATATGACAAAATAATTAAATATCTTCATTAACTATAAAAACTTTTCATTTCTTGAAGACCAAATAATAGATTTTGCTAATATTTTTAAATGTTTCTTATTGTTAAAAAATTCCTAAGTATCTGAATACTGGTATCATTTATATTGCAAAGGTCTTATGGCTGAAAGAAACACATATTTCTATTTAACCCTTGGAAAAGCTGTGCATTAAATATATTTACTGATTGCCTTCTATGTTTCATCCTAAGACCAGGCAAGAAGAAGGGGAACCACATATGGTACTCAAACCTTTATGAAGCCTGAGGTTAGGTGGCAGGAGAAGGAATCTAAAGTTTTGTTTTCTATTGCCTTTCCTCTTTCATTAACATACTATTTCTCTATTATACTCTCTTATCAATATTCTACCCAACACCCACAAATGTTTTAATTAATCTTAAAATAAATTAAATGTCATTAGACCCATGAAGAATAAAGCAAATAATTGCTGACTTGGGTTAATTGTATTCCTTTTAGTTCAGTCATTAATCCAGATCCTGATGTTAAGCAAGCCAGTATAATAAGAATTCAGATGATCAAGTTGATAAAGACTTTTGTGGATTTCACTAGCTATCAAAGAGGATAGAATTTTACCACTCTGGCCAAGTGAAGAAACAACTCCAGTGGTGTTTGTTTGTTTGTTTAACCATAAAACTGTAAATATGAAATAGTCTTGAAAATACCTCAACCTTGGCAAAAAAAAAAACAACAACAACCATACCTTCTCCTCTTATAGTCAGCCTTGTTGCTCCATTTATGCTGCCATATTTAGGTATTATTTCTGTGACTTTGGGGATTATTTGAGAGCCATCTGAAAAATATTAAAATATAGTAGAGGTAAAATCACCAAGTTCTTCATTTCAATTATCAACATTTGTAACACATACCACAAGGTTGCAAGGAAAACATCGTGAAGTTTACAGGACTGAAAGTAAAATTCACCCAGGTTTTATTTTTGGCTCTGCCAATGACTTGACGGAGTCATTAACTTAGTTAACACCCACTGGCTTTGTGCAAAGCACTATCTTAGGTGCTACCAAGAGCAAAACTAACACGTGATCATTTTCATCACTTACCTATCATATTATAAAACACGTATTAAATCCTTAATTTCATGTAGTGTTCTGCTAACTGCAGATCTATAACTATGCTTAACTGCTCACGTAACAGCAGACACCAAGAAGATATAGGTCATTATAAGAGCACAGAAGAAATGTAATGCTAGGTAGGTTGAAAGACTAGACCAGGTACAAAGAGAAATGTTGGTTTTGAGAAGAAATTGTTTTCCGTGAGGGAGTGTGGCTTCAGGAAAGATAATTTCTGGGATCCTTCTAGTCTCCTGATGATAGTGAGTTCTTAATATAAAGGTCACTAATTCATTCAACAAACTGTATTAGCTTCCTAGAAATACGGAAATGTGTAACAGTCCTAACTTTCCAAGGGTTTAGGTTAGACAGTACCAACAGACAGAGGAGAGCATAGAGGCTATGGGTGACTCAAGGAGCATTTCACCCACACTGCTTGTGTTGCACTGGCTTCTACAAAGAAGACATGCCCCTTCCACATTTTTGAGGGCAAATATGAATTAGACTGGGCCCATCGTCAGAAAGATAAAGATAGTTCTAGATAGAGGGAACTGCCTGGGCAAACAGGGTTATGTAAGCTGCTTCTTTGGAGTACTGCAAATAATTCTTTAAAACAACTCAAAGCTACATAGTGGATAGAGGTATTTATTTTCTGCTTACACTGTACAGATCTAGTAATTACTGGAATCCCAAAATAAATGTTCACAGTAGGTAGAAAAATTTAAGTGATGATACAAAGAAAGGCCACAGAAATTATTAATTTCTCGAAATGGATGTATACAAAAAGGCTAAGAGAATTATGATTGGCTTGTTCGGTTCTGTCTTAAAAAGATTTAGAGAGGACTTCACCTATAGTAGCAAAAGCTCTCCAACATAAAGGAGACCAGTTCCAAGGCCCCAGACCCAGTGCCTCTGTACTTTGGGTCTGTTTTTGCCAAGAGCTCCAAGGTGTTCTTGCTCCCACACATTCATATCTCAGGGCAGCCCACAGCCAAGAGTAGGAAACTCCAGCGGGGCAGTTGGATCCTATCTCCAGACAGTGCTGCTGCTCCCCTATCTCAGGTTCATCCTCCTGTTATCTCCACAGACAACTCCAATTTCTTATCTTATCAGTCTCTTCCCAGAGCTCTTCTGGGTATTACTTTGAAGACACGGGGCAGCTGCCCCTAGAAATGACTGACACCTGCCACGAAGGCCCATCCCCGTCCTACTGGGGGTTGTTGCCCTTTCTTTTGTGAGAAAAGCGATCCAAGAAGAATGGAGAAAAAGGGACTCAGGGTGCCTCTTCCCAGTCCCCACTCCCCCGCCAAATTTCAGTCTCCTTTCACGTGTGTCACTTTGGGGGTGCAGGTGAGACATTTCCTCATTCTAGTAGCAGCATTGGTGAGTTAAAGGCAATCTCTCGCAATCTCTTTCTCTGTGTCCTTGTCTCTGTCTCTCTCTCTGCGTATGTCTGTGTTTGCTAGGCCTGCCATCCAGCTCCCCTGGTCCCCAGGATCGTCATGCAACCGCACGCACAGCCTCAGCCGAGTGCCAGGTGGTCCCGCCTCTCCCAGGACCCCGGGAGCACGGGTAGTGTCTACGCGGGCTTCTCCTGCTTGCCTCCCTAGCTTGCCCAAAGGGTTACCTGTGCTGGGATCCGCGGCACACAAGAGCAGTCCCCAGAGGCCCCAAATCCCCAGGAGCCACAGGTGTCCCATTGAAAAGCCAGTTCCGCGGAGCTGGTACCCTCCACTCGCAGCTGGCGCTAGTGCTGAAGCTCGACTCTGGGGACTACGACTCGCTGGCGCGTCCGCTTTGCCCCGGGAGCGCTGGGGAACTGGGCCGCCCTCCCATGGCCCGCCCCGCCCCGGCTGTCGGGCTGCGCCTCTGGGATTGACGCGCGCGCGGACACACACACACACACACACACACACACACACACACACCCTAGAACCTTCGCGGGAGAACCAGTCCGGCCTGGAGCCAGTCCATGATAATCAAACCTCCACACTCATACCCGGTTGCTGCCTTCCCAAGGCTGTTCCCATAGGTGGAAGGGCCTTACTCCTTTTTGGCGAAAGGAATCAATGGTCCTTGAGGTCTCCCTAGATCTCCTCTATTTTCTTTTTGGTTTTTTCTTTTTTCTTTCTTTCCCTGCATACTGTCATCTGCCTGTCTGCCTTGGTCATTAATCCTCCCCAGATGGGCCTATAAATCTACCTAATACACAAACCCCACACGTTTTTACCCCTTCACATTCATATGAGATTGTGCTAGCTCTTTAATTGACAGTCATAATAGTTGTTGATTTCTCAGCCTATCCCAAACACGGCGCCTAGTGCTTTATAGACAGTAGTTCCAATAGTTACCATCACGCCCATTTTTCTAAGCAGTAGACTGAGGTACAGAAATGTTAGGTGACTTGCCCAGGGACATACAGCTAAGTGCAGAGTGAGGACTCAAGCAGAGAGACTCCAGAGCCAGTTCTCTTATCCCCTCCACTGCCCTCAGTTCTGTAGACTGAGGGCCAGGACTTACTGTTGGCTTGGAGGGAGGTCCAGCACTGCTGACCTGTTTCTGGAATACCAGATAGCAGACGAATGAAACGCAGGTATCTCTGACCTCCCTGGAGAAGGCAGTTTATTATTCCCCACTGAATGCTCCCCGGGGGCTCATTCCAAATCCTCTCACTGTTGTTAATATCCTAACCTCAGGATCTCTTGATTGCCCACCTCTCCCTACTCTTTAAAAGGTGAGAAGGGGCTGGACACAGTGGCTCACACCTGTAATTCCACCACTTTGGGAGGCCAAGATGGGAGGATCACTTGAGGTCAAGAGTTCGAGACCAGCCTGGCTGACATGGTGAAACCCCATCTCTACTAAAAATACAAAAATTAGCCAGATGGTGTGGCGCATGCCTTGTAATCCCAGCTACCTGGGAGGTTGAGGTAGGAGAATTGCTTGAACCCGGGAGGCAGAGGTTGCAGTGAGCCGAAATCGCACCCTTGAACTACAGCCTGGGCGACATAGTGAGACTCTGTCTCAAAAACAAACAACAAAAAAAGGTGAGAAGCTCCACCCACCTAATTTGCAGTTTCTACATTTAAAAATGTTATGTGTTTTTTTGGCTGGGCCGGTGGCTCAAGCCTGTAATCCCAGCACTTTGGGAGGCTGAGACGGGCGGATCACGAGGTCAGGAGATCGAGACCATCCTGGCTGACACGGTGAAACCCCGTCTCTACTAAAAAATACAAAAACTTAGCCGGGCGAGGTGGCGGGCGCCTGTAGTCCCAGCTACTCGGGAGGCTGAGGCAGGAGAATGGCGTAAACCCAGGAGGTGGAGCTTGCAGTGAGCTGAGATCCGGCCACTGCACTCCAGCCTGGCCGACAGAGCGAGACTCCGTCTCAAAAAAAAAAAAAAAAAGTTATGTGTTTTTAAAGATATTAAAAGATTATTACCCAAATAGCAATACATAAGCTTCTATTGGATCCTGGTGTGTAATAATAATGATAATGATAAAACTATGAAGGACGTTTGCAAAACAAATTAGGGAAAGTGAATATGGATTAAGTAACAAGTATTGAAAGATATTACAGAAGTGTTCATTTCATTAGGTATAATAGTGGTATCATACTTTAGTCAAAGAGTGGTTTCAAGTGATGGAATCGCATGATGAGGTATTTGAGGTTGTAGTGTCTTTATGTCTGGAATGTACTTCAAAATAGTTTTGCTGAAAAAAAAAGCTGGCAAATTTTAAACAATGTTTGAATTTAAGTGTAGGTATGATCCTTTGCACATTTCTATTAGTTTAAAAATTTTTATAAGTAGAAATTTTTAAATTTTCTTTCTTTCTCTTTCTTTCCTTCCTTCCTGCTTTCATTCATTCTTTCTTTCCCTCCCTCCCTTCCTCCCTCCCTTCCTTCCCTCCTTCCTTTCTTTTTGTTCCTCTCTTTCGGAAAGAAGTATTTTTCTTCCATGACATGGTCAATCCCCTCTTTGAACTCTTGGTGAAAACTGATTATTATTCTAACAATATCCCCCTTATCTCACTTCTAATTAATTCACTCTCCCCGTTCTCCTCTTTTCCTAGAAAGATATACAGTATTTATTACTAAAAAACCAAACACAAACCAAAAATCCTTTCTTCTCTTCTTAATTGAGGCAAACTCTCTAGTTTACTTGTTATTAAACTTCTTGAAAAAGCTGCCTATTTTAGTAAACTCCTTGTTCAAGGTCACTGTCCACCTACTCATTCATCTATTGTACAAGGACATCTGTGTTCCAGGGTCTGTTCTAAGTACTTACTGGGGGATGGAGGAAAGGTAGAGGCTGGGAGTAAGGTTGACAGATAAAATACAGGCCACCCAGGTCAATTTGAATTTAAGATAAGTTACAAATTATTTTTTTCCAGTTTTAAGTATGTCCAAGCAAGATTTAGGACATATGTATACTAAAAATTGTTCAGAGTTTATCTGAAATCCAAATTTAACTCAGTTTTCCATGTTTTTGTTTACTAAATCTGACAACTCTAATTGGGAAGGAAGAGAGAAGAAATAGAAGAAAGAATCCTAAAATAAGTAAAGTTAGGCCCTTATTCTTGAGGAGTTTATATCTGTCCAGTGGGGTTAAGAAAATAATTTTCAGCCTGGGCAACAAGGCAAGACCCCCCATCTCTAAAAAAATTAAGAATAAATAAATGATTTTTTAAAATTAGTCATGCATGGTGGTGCACGCCTGTAGTCCCAGAAATTCAAGAGGCTGAGGTGAGCAGATCACTTGAGTCTGACAGGTCGAAGCTGCACTGAGCCATGATGGCACCATTGCACTTCAGCTTGAGAGACAAAGACTGACTTTGTGTCCAAAAAAAAAAAAAGAAAGAAAGAAAGAAAGAAAGAAAGAAAAAAAGAACCGAAAAATAAAAGTAAATAATTTTGTTATCTAGTTATATTCATCTCATAAATTTTTGGAATCTCTCTCCAAGTCATCAGCTACTGAAAATTGTGCCTATAAAGGTAAAGTATGTAACAGTATATACTTCACCATGGTAATAGTCCATGGCCTGGGGGTCGGGAATCCTAACCATATTATATACTGGAGTTGTAATTTTTAATGAGAAACCATTAAATTAGACAGACTTTCCTCTAGATAGAATTCATATAATTTATAACAAAGAGAAAAACTTGTCTAAATATTGAGTGTATCAATAAAGCACTTCAGATTTTTTATGTTGACTTCCGTTTTGCCAAACTTTTAAAAGATTTTTTTTCACCAAATTTTTAGATAGTATATCAACCAGCAAATGACATGCAACATTCAAAATATAATATGGCTACTTTTATTGTGTCCTATTTTATTTTTTGACTTAACACATACTAATTGCATGGTTCATAATACTAGTTTCTTTCAGATAGCTTCACTTTCTTTCACACTTAGTCGTCTTAGAATAAGTTAAGTATATATAAAATATGTATTAGGTATACATATTATATACATACATATGTATTCAATATTATATGAATGTGTAATTTTCTTCTAGATGTATTACCATTAGTCACTCATATTAAGCAATCATATTAAAGCTGATAAATACTGCTATTAAACCGCAGTCATCCAAGTTGGCAAATTTAGCAAATTAGTCATTCAGCAAAATGATCATTGGACTAATTAGCTTCAGGAAAGTTGATTTCTGGTAAATTAGCCTTCTTTCTTGTCTTATAATGTCTTTAAAAAAAAAGCCCATAATTTGCATATATAAATTTTTAATAAACTTTTGTTGAATGAATGAACATCTTTAATTGATTTTTCCCTTTAAGTAGTGCTTATTTATATGATAAATAAACGTCCTAAAAAAGATCACACCAGTGAGAATTTTGGTCTTAAAATAATTGGATGGGATAGTGTTATTATTAAAATAATTGGATGGGATAGTGTCCCAATAAATAATTGTAACTAGATGGAAATTCATATAACCAAAAGGTCAACTTGGAACCAGAAAAAACAGTTATGGAGTTGATGTAATTTATGATTTAAATAGTGTCCATTTTTACAATCTTCAAACCTGTCTTGCAACACAGACTCATCATGGAAATGAGAAAACATGAAAGTAGAATCCTAATCATTAAACCCCATGTTTCTTTTGTAGGTTTTCAAAAATCTAGCTCTAACAAAACCCTGCCTAAAGAGCCAGGATAGTGGGTGTGACCTGTGCCATCTCATAGGGCCCATACTCGGTTTAATACTTTGCTGTCATCTTGAGATCCTTAATATTTTTTGAACAAGGGACTTCCCGTTTTCATTTTGCATGAGACCTCACAAATTATGTAGCCTGTTCTACTGGCTCATATGGTGAAAAAAGAGACTGTTTTTAAACATATTGGTCCCTTGACTTAAAAACAATAAGAAAATGATAAGGGATTGATAGAAACTCTTGCAGAACTAGAGGGAATAAGGAATTTAATTGTGAATGTATCACTCAATTCAGGGCCTAATTTCAAAACTAGACCTATTAGTGAAAGATGGTGAACAAAATGAGGTACTTGGAAAACAATAGTTTGCCTTTAACATATGTTCAGAATTCTAGGCATTAAGAAAATGGCAGTGATTAAGAAAACTCCCTGCCCTCGTGGAGCTTACATTCTTGGTGGAGATAGACAATAAACACAAAAATTTGTGAAATATATAGCATGTTCAAAACTAATAGATGCTAGACAGAAAATACTAACACAAGGAAGACAACAAACAATGTAACCTTGTTGCTTAATGTCAGGAAGGAGATGGAAGGTTTTTAATTGCTTAAGTGTGCAAATACGGGACGGTTC